GGGCGGGTCGAGCGGCTCGCGTGCCTAACTATGCCTTTTGGGCTTGCGGCGTGGAGGGCCAGTCTCAACCAGCGCGGGGGCAAGACAATTCTCCCTCCCCGTATCCGCCGCCACTTCACTTCCTCCGGTGGATTTGGCTTTCGGCCTTCCGCTCGCCCGAACCACTCTTCTTGCTCGCTCGCGCCGGCCAAGCTCTTGGCCTCTTCCTCCTTTTGCGGTTCTCCCTTTTGGCCGTCGCCCGCCCCGGATCGATGCGCTGCTTCACGGCACCCCCCCGCCGGGCTTTGGTCTTGGCCCTATTCCTGGCACTGGCCATGCTGGGAAGCTCCCTGGCCCTGCCGGCGCCGGCCGACCAGCCGGCCTGCGGCGCCGGGCAATACGCCTCCCCGGGCAGCCCGCCGGTCTGTGCACCCTGCCATGCCTCCTGTCGGAGTTGCTTCGACCGCGAGGACTTCTGCACCTCCTGCCCGATGGATGGGGCGTGGCTGCTGCCGGGGACTGGTGTGTGTGTTTCCGCCTGCCCGGCGGGCCAGTTCATCGGCGTGGCCTTCCCCGGGGCGGTGGCCCCGGCCCCGGGGCAAGTTTGCCTCACCTGCCCTGATGGCTGTGAGGCGTGCTCGAGCCCGGGCGATGCGCCCGCTTGTGTTCTCACACCGGACGGGTCTCTGGACTGTCCGGCGGTGGCGCGGTGCGACCGCTGCGCCGAGGGGCTGCTGCTGCTGGATGGCACGACGTGCGTGGCAAGCTGCCCGGAGTCCGGGTACCTGACCGACTCCGAGGGCAAGTTTGCTCGGGTCCCGGCGTGTGTGGCGTGTGCGCCCCAGTGCACTGCGTGCAATGGGCCCGGGGCCGAGCAGTGCACCGCCGGCCCGGAGGCCCGGCGAAACCACGCCCTCGGTACGCATGCTGGCCCTGGCTGTGCCTGGCCCGGGCTCCTCCCTTTCCCTGGCTCTTCTCCTTCGTCGCACGATCGCTCCGTTCGGGCCGCTGCCTGCCTGCCTGCCTGCCTGTCGACTGACCGCTCGTTCCTTCTTTCTTTCTTTTTTTTTCTTCCCGGCGGGCCAGTCATCGGCTTGAGTGTCATCATTGGGCTGGTGGTGCTGGCCATCCTGATCATCGGCCTGACGCTGGCGATCCTGCGCCGTGCGAATCGCCTTCGGCGGAAGGACCGCCCGGCCCCCTCGCCGCCCTCGTCCCCCTCGATGACCACGGATACCGGCCGGTCCCGGCGTGCCGGGCCGTCGGAGAGCTCCATCCCGATGGATACCCTGCGCCGCTGAGTGGCCGGCCATTGTCGGGTGCCCAGGGCCACCCCCCCCCCCCCTGGCATCGGCGGTGGGCCGGGGGCCCATGCGGCGCGTGCCACGGGCGAGGTGGAAAGAATAAAAGACACGAAGAAACTTCCCCGGTGTGCCGCGCACACATGCACGCATGTCCCGGCCTGGAGGGTGGGGCAGCATTCTCGGCTGCCCCCCAGACGGGAAGGGGCCCCATATTGGGGGACAATGTTTGTTTTTTTCGCTGTTTCCCTTGAACGACCCCTTGTCGGTCAGGCCCTCCCCACAGGGTCGACGCCGGATGTTTTCCCGTATGCGCATCAGCGCGGCCTGGGGCGGGCTGACGATGGCCGGTGCCGGCAACCATGCATCAGGCACCACGGATAAGCTGGGGGGGGGGGGCGGCCTTGTAGCTCCGTTCGCCACGGAGGGCACCGAGCCTGCGGGTAGAATGACGACTTGGCGCGCGGGGGAGCATGTGGCTGGCTGTCGTCGGGGGGCAGAGGTGGGCCGTGACTCGACAGCCACAACAACAACACCACCCCTCGGTTGGACGGGCTCACGGAAAGCCATGGAGCCGGGGCGGCTTTCGCCCGGCTTTCGGAGCGAGTATGTGTCCGGAGCAGGCGGACATTCCAGATGCCAGCGAACCCCGCGGACGACCCCGGCCCTCACGCCAAGGCCAGGTGGCCACACGCCGAGGCGGGGACAGGGGCACGACGGGACTCCCTTGTCAGGGGGGCCACCACGCCGGGGAGGACTCCCCCCCCCCCCCCCCCCCCCCGGCCCGAGCGGGGGGTGAGACGCGAAGGGCGAGGGGTTTCCGGGGAGCGAGTTTCCCCCACCGCCCCTCAGGCCCCCTCCGCTGACCGTGATAGAGAGGGATAGATTGCCGCCGGGAGAGCTGGGTCTCTTCGGTCCTGCTGGCCAAGGGGCACCAGGAGACACTCGCTCGGGCGCCGGGCCTGGAGCAGGGGGCCTGCGAGCGGTCAAGCGAGGCGACCGAAAGGACGCGAAAAGGGGGAATCCCACGCGGGCTCGCCAATGTGCGGCGCCCCCCCCCCCCCCCCGCTCCGGCCCTCGCGGGTGGCAACACGCGGCTCCGAGAACGTCCCCGTGGTTGCGCGCCGGCATAAATGGCCGTCGGCCAAGGGGGGCGAGGCGGGCGCGGGTTTGACGGTCCTAGCATTCTGCCAGGCTCGCACCTCCTCCGGGGGAAGCCCGACGCGGCGGGCTCCAGCCTGCGCGCGGCATCCGTCCCTGAGCACGGCACTTCTTCAGGACTGTCTCCCAACCCAGGACCGATCCAACGGAGCGTGTCCGTCCGGGGGAGCCCACCGCCGCGGACACATGCCTGCAGGCACAAGAGATACACACATGCACACGAGTATGCTCGGATAAATAAGCCACCAAAAATACAATCGCTCGAAAAGGTCCCAACAGGGACCGTGTGTGTGGTCGGGAGCCGGCAGAAGCTCCCTCGCGATTCTGCATGTGCAGAACAACGGCGCCCGCGATGCGAGTTGGAGCTCCTGCCCATTTCTCTTCCGAAGAATGCTATTCCGAAGAACATCACGGGGATTTTTCCAAAAGTGTCGCTACGCGATCGCTTGCAGAGGGCGGACGATGTGCTCAGAGGGCAGGCAGCAGCCGGAGGAAGGTGGTGTCTACATTCGGGAGTCATCATTATTCCCAGTTCGGGAAGCTCCGGCCATGGGCCGTTGCCGCTCCTTCCGAACGCGGGTTGGGCGCCTCGCATCCTGCCAACTCTCCCTTTGTCGAAACCGAGTTCCTGGTCCGTGACGGGGCCGCTGCCTGCCTCGGGGCATAGCGGCCCGGATCCTGTTGAGCCTCGTCGGGCCTCCGCCCCGGTGGCGGGAGGGCGGAATGGCCACCCTCGCGAAGCATGAACTCTCTGACGGGCGCAGGGGGACTTCTGCTTTGGGGATGGACTGGCGGGTGTCTGGGCGAGCGCTGACGACCGGCCCGCCGCATGAGGCAAATCCATGCTCGCCGACAGACCAACCCCTGTGCCCTCCCTCGGCGCACTCGAGAGATGGGTGCCCGGCGATGGGCCGAGTCGCGGCTTTCTGGGATATCCTGCACCGCGCACCTCTCTGTCGGCCGAGTAGATGCCCGGTGGGCCTCCGCCCGGGGCGCGAGCGCACACACCGCCCGGCCGCGCTCGAAAACACACCCGACCAGGAAGAGACTCGCCGTCCGCGCCCGTTGGGACCTGGGCATGTTGACTTGCCCTCTTGGGCTGGCCTATGGGGGAAGATCCCTTTGGGTTTCAGTGGCAAGCGATCCGCCTCCCGCGCTGGCTGGCCCCATCTGCGATGGGTATAAAAAAAATGAAGGGGACCCGCCCCAGCGCCAGATCTCGTCACCAGCATCCCTCTGGATGGTTTTTTTCATTTCCGCCCCCCCCCCCCTCGCTCCATTGCCCTCCTGTCCCTACTTGCCTTCCTTTGCCTCCGTGCCCTCGTTGCTTGCACCACCCTCTCGATCCCCCTGTCCCCTGCCCGCCCCTCTGCCCCTGCTGCCGCTGCCCCCACCCCGAAATGGCCGACGTTCTTCCGATCCCGGTGTCCCCTCCCCAGGATACCGGCATTGTGGCCCTCTTCAAATCCGGCCAGCGCCTCAATGTCCAGTATGGGGACTTCATCATCTCCGGAAGCATCCACAGCAACCGAGCTCAGTTTGATTTGTGTTGCCCTGTCGGCGGGGCAACCGGCCTCCGGGATAGCCTGCCCAGTCGCCATGGCCGGGCTCCCCCGAGCAACGAATCGCCAATGTCCCCCGAGCCCTGGCTCCAAAAGGTGCACCCGCCTTCAACCCAGCCTCGAGGCCTTCCCGGCTGCTGGGAGTGGCTTCCTTTGCCTTTTGGCGGCTCTCGCATGCCGCACCGGAAATATGAAGACTGACCTCTGGTGGGGGATGGCGGTGTGGCATGGCGGCTGTGGGCATGTGGGCGCGGTCTTCATCGGCAGGTTGCCACCCCGGGCGAGGCGCTCCACGTCGCCGGCCGCGAGGCCCTGCTGCTCGACAACGGGCGGATCGTGCGCTTCACCTTCGACGAGGCCGGCATGGCCGAGACCGGGGTCCTCTATCGTCATGTGCCGGGCGCCGAGGGTGTCGGCTTCACGGTCAACAAGTCGCTTTTGTATTTGGCCACCGAGCCGGCCACCCTGCTGGGCTTCCAACTGCGTGAAGATCTGGTCCTCTTCGATGTACGCGCCCTGGGATGGCGTCTCCGCGCGCCGGCTTGTTGCTGCCTGCACGCTCGGAAGCACTGACCCGCGCTGTCTCCTCCCGGCCCCGGGGCCGTGCATTTCGCTGTCCGCCCGCCGGGATTCCCCCCTCGCCCGGGCCCTTGCAGGACTCGCCCGGGGATCTGCCCACCGAGGGCGTCTGCTCCTTCAATGCCGGGCATGTGGTGCTGAACTTCGGCAACATGGTGGCCAAGCTGCGCTTCGGGGCGACCGGACCCGATGCCGGAAGCCTGACAGCCTTGTCGGTCTTCCAGGTGGAAAGCTGCCTGGCCGGGGCCGGGGTTTCGCCCGAGGCCGGCTACCGGGCCCAGAACGCCCTCCGGGGCCGGGGGGAAAATGGCTTCCGGAATGTGGTCCCCTCGCCGGCCCGGGGGCTCTGTCCGCCGGCATGCCCCTGTGCCAGCCTCCGTTTGCCGAAGCAGGTGTCTGCCCATCATAACCGCGTGCTGGTGGTTCGTCATGGCCGACTGCTGTTGGCGGAATTCCCGATGCCGGTGGCGACCCTCGGGGTGTCGGCCCCGCCCGCCTGTCGAGCCCATGAGTCCATCCTCATGGAGGGGCTTCCGGATGGCGCGTGGCTCGAGCTCACGGTCACCCCCGGGCTGGTGCTCCTTGTGGACCCCAGCCGGCGGTGCGGCCATTACATTGACCTGGGGCGGCCGCTGTCTCGGTTTTCCCTCTTCCGCAAGGTGCGCTCGTGTGCGGGCGACGGGGGGCCGTGGCCGGTATCTCGGCCCGATCGTCCCATCGGGCGGGGCATCTGGGAACTGGACCCTGACTTGTGTATCTTCCTCCTCTTCCCCCTTCCCCCGCTGGCATCGGGCGCATGTCCGCCCTGGCCCCCCCCCCCCCCCTCCCGCTTGGTGCGTGTGCGCTCTTCGGCCATACCCGGCAGATCGCACTGCCTCTGTTCGAGGACAGTGTCGTTTCGGGGTCGTACCAGTTCAGCCGGACAGTGACGCTCGTGGCGCCAGGGGGCCTCAACTCGTTGACCGTCTCCGAGGGTGCCAATGTCAATATCCTTACTCGGTTTGCCGAGCCCATGGCGATGATGCCCTTCCGCAGCAACCAGGGGACTCTCTGTCGGCCGCGTGCGAATGCTCCGGAGGTCTTCCGGATCGAGGTGCGCCGATGGCCCGGGGGGCGGGGGTTCCTCCTGGAGGGAGATATGATCGCCAGAGGGGGCCGCCTCGATGCGCGTCCTTTGTCCCGCCGTCAGCACGGCGCCCCGTTCGACCGCGTGGAGGGGGTTGCCCATCTCTGACAGCATGGCCCCCTTTCCTTTTCTCCCTTCCACGCACACACACACACACATACATCCACCTTGCCGTCCTCGCGGTCACTGTGTGGCCTCCGCAGGTGGAGGGCTTCGGAGACATGGTCCCAGCCGGGCGGCTGATGCTGGGCTCCAAGCGCGCCCTCTCGCTGCATGAGAACTTCCTCGTGTGTCATGAGTATGTCCTCGGGACGGAGAGCTTCCGCCTGGCAGGCTTTTCCTTTGCCTTGCAGCTGGGGTCCTCGGGCATCGCCGGTCCGGGGCGCCTGAGCCTGCAGCAAGCTTCCCCCCCGCAGGATGGTCGGCTTTGCGTTGTTATCGATGGCCAGTGGGCGATGGACGTGGACCTTGAGGCCCGGAAGGTGTCCGGCCTCCGGTCCTGGCTGCCGGCCGGCTGGCCTCAGTCGGGGGTGCGTGCGAAGCATTTGCAAAGGGAGCCCGCCCGGATATCCCGGGCCAGGGGGGAGCATCCCGACCGGTGTGCCCCGACACTTCCAGTAACGATAGTTTGCCGGGCGCGCTCACACACACACACACACACACACACACACACACACACACACACACCATGTGTCGTCGGGCTGCCTCATGCGTGCCTTTCCCCCGGGGGGTGGGGGTGGATGCCTTCGCCTGGACAGACCGATCGGCTGCCCCCTGGTGGGATGATGACCACCGTGCGACAGGAGCTGGCGGTGGCCGGGCCCAGTGGCGTGCTTCTGTACGGGCTGCAGGCTGCCGGCGAGCAGCTGGCCATTGACCAGCAGCCCCGGACGGCTTGGCGGAGTGCCAGCCGCCCGGCCGGCATCTTTGCCCCCCTCGAGCCGGACACACTGGCCGTTGCCACCGGCGGGGAGGTGCACTTTGTCCGAGCCACGGCTGACGGCCCGGTCCTTCGCTCCATGTCCTTCGTGCGTGCCACTCCCCTTGCGGGGCCCCTTGGCAGTGGTGTGCTGGCGGCCCCGGGCCCGTTGCGACATCCATGGCAAACTGACCGACGATCGTCCTGCCCCCGTCCCACTCGACACGGTGCTGGGAACTCGCGCGCGCACACACACACACACACACACACACACGCGTCCGGGATGAAACGGTGGCCCGTGGTGGCCATGGGGCCTCCGTAGGATGACAAGGTGGTCGCCGTGTTCGGGCATCGGTCGACGCGTGAATCGCTGGCCGTTTTGACCCGGAGCTCGGTTCAAATTTTCCACAACTGGTGCGCCTCCGCCATCGGCCGAGTAAAGCCATGCTTCCCATCCCGAAGGCAGGGGAGGGCGGTGCTGAGGTGATCTAACATGCGCATGTGCCTGCGTCTGTGCGCGGTCAAAATGCCCAGGGAGAGTGCATATGACATCCCGCTCGGTGGCCGCCAGTGCCTGGCCGTCACGCAGTTGGATGACGGGTCGCTGGTGCTGCGGTGCAGTGATGGGTTTTTCGACCTGCTGAACTTCGATGCCCTGATGTTTGCCGAGCGCCATGTCCAGTGGCGTGACCAGCCGGGGCCCCTTCCTGGGACCGGCACGCCCGAGCAAGTCTGGGTGTGCCCCTGGTTCTCGCTGTCGTGGGTGGCCCGGCACCCGGGCGGGCGCTTTGTCTTCCACACGGCCAACCGCCAACCGGATGTCTATGAGCCGTGGGCCTTCCTGCCGACGAGGCGCTCTTTCGCTCTGGATCTGTCCTCCTGGCCCGGGGCCGGGGAGGACGCCCCGGCCGGCGCGGTCTTCCTGCAACATGGCGACCGGCGCTTCTGTGTCATCCTGTGCGTGATGCTTCTTCCCCTGCGGCGGGGCGGCTGCCGCCCGGTAGGGGGGGGGGGGGGGGGGGGGGGGGCACCAAAAGTGATTTGTGCCTGTTGGGCCTCCTCTTCCCCCCCCACACCCAGGGGGGCCTCCATACAACACGTCCCCCCTCGGGAACGATGAACTCCTAACCGGCCCAGCACATAGCATCCTCCGTGCGCGCTTTCTCTTTCTCTCTGTCTCTCTCGCGTTGGGCTTCCGCTCGGAAAAGGGCCAGGGCCGACGAGCGCACACGAAGCGGAGGGCGCCGCGCGCGCGCCCCACACGGCCCGGGCCAGTGGTGGATCCCCCTGTTTCGCGGGAGGGGGGGGGGGAGGGGGCCCCTCCCGGGGGGGGGGGGGTTCGGGGGGGGGGGGGGGGGGGGGGGGGGCCTTTCCTCCCTCGTGGAGACATTGATGACTGACTCATCTGCGACCGGATGCGCGGCGATCGCGGCGGATTGTCCCGGCACCACACCCTGCGGTCCCCGTATCGACCACGCCACTGGTGGCCGGCCTTGCGTCTGCCTTTCCCAGCTTCGGGCAGAGGATGGCCCTCATCCCGGAGGAGGATTTGATTCGGCTCTTCATCGACCCGACCGACCCGAGCATTTTGGGGCAGCCCCTGCAGTGCAGCATTGTCAATGTCGGGCTGCCGCTGTCCTCCGGCGACATGCTGACCCTGGGCCCGGAGGTCCGGCCTCTGCATCCGACCGTCATCCTGTCGACCGTGGTAGAGGGGAAGTCGGCTTTCGGGCCCAAGTCCCTGCCCATCGAGGGCGAGTCCGTGCAGATGGGTCAAATTCGTGTGGAGCTCTGGACGCCTGCCGCAGGGGCTCCGGACGGGGCCGCAGCCTGCTGACGCGTGGCTGAGCTCTCCAGCCAGGCCCCATCCGGGCGCTCGGACTGGGATGCAGGGTCCGGGCTGTGGTGCCGGATATCGGCCATCATGGGCCGTCGATCGCGAAATGAATGTCCAATGCCAAGCCATGCGGGCTTCTTGCCGTGGGCGGTGTCTTATTCGCGTGGCGAGGCATGTCGTGGCGAGGGGAATGGGTAACCCCGGATTGGCTCTTCCGGGCGCCATTCTCTTGCTCGGTGATGAGGCCAGCGTGCGGGCGGGGGGCTGCCGGGTTTCTTGCATCGGGCGAGGGGCAGCGCGCCTGTGCATGTTCGGCCGGGCGCCAGCCTCCCAGTACATCGGGCATCCATGTCCATGAGGGCGGAAGGCCGAGGGCGCAGGGGGGCGGGGGGGGGGGGGGGGGGGGGGCGATTCCCCCGCAAGTGCCCGCCTATTGGGACAATCGGAGTGGCGTGTGATCTTGCTCCCTACAAGCGGATGCTCGCTCGGGCAACGCGGCCTAATCCGAAGGGGCTGCGATTGCGAGCCTGCCCCCGAGCTGAAAGGCGCGGGGAGTTGGCCCGTGAGAAGGGCCTCGGTGGCAGTGTAGAATCGACCCACCGGCGGCTTGCTCAGGCGGATCCTTTCGGGCGTCGTTGCACGTTTGTGCTGTGTTTTTTTTCTCGGCGGGGCCGGGGTCCTGCTGGGCAGAGGCACGCCGCATTGTCTGCAGAGCTACATTTGTTGTTGGAACTCCGGCCGCTTTCTCCCCCGGAGGAGCCCTCCGAAGCGCGTCATTCGTGCTGGCGTGCAGGTCCAGTGGGAGGGGCATTGTGCGAGGACCAGATGTTCTGGACCTTGGCGGGCTACTGCTACAAGAACACCCGGGAGGCCGGGGACGACCGGGTAGCGCCATATAGGGGTGGGGCGAGCGGTTTCCCCCTCCGGTCATGGGACATGGGCATGCCTGCTACGATTGACACGGTCCCTTGTACTGTGCCCCGCCACGGCCCTCTGGCCCGGCGGCCTGCCCACATTCGAACGGATGCATGGGGTGGCCAGCATTGCCGGCCGCTGGTGGGGCCCGGCCTCCTCTTTTGCGGGTCTGGGGAGTGTCGTGGTCTTGGTGCCGATGGCCGGCGCGTTGGATGCGCGCTTGGCTCCGGCCGGGGCATTTGATCTGACGGTCAGTGTCGCGTCTGCCGTGCAAGCCGCATCAATTGCGCGTCTTCCCGCCTGAGTGTGTGCCTTGCTGCCGGGGGGAGAGCCCCGGGCGGCGGGGCAGCCGGCTGGCAGGTGAGGTGCTGTCCTCGTCGGATGCCCCCGGGGCACCGTGAATACAGGGGGCGTGGAGTGGCGTTAGCCGACGGACACCATTTTGACGGCCATCTGGGCCGGGGGTGCCGACCGCACGCGGGGGGGGGTCTCGTCTTCGAGGGCCGGGGAGGACCAGACAACTGAGCCGCCCGGTAGGCGATCAACTAGCATGACATCCGTTAAGCCAGTGTGTCATCTTTGATCATTGCCGGACCACCTCTTGATGTCTTTTCCTCGACCGCCCTCTCGGTGCGGCACCACCCGCAGTCGTTGCCAGGGGGCATCCACCGAGCCGGCCTTTCGGCCTCGGGCCGGTGGCCGAAGGGAGAGTCCCGCATGGGGACGCTGCCTTTTCGGGCATCACTCGTGCCGGACTCCCACACAGTCAAGACGGTACACCTCCAGTAACCGGGAATTCGGGATTTGGTCTTTGGGGTGAGCATGGGATGGCCGGTCGGGGGAGGGCCTTCTCGCCATTCCCATCGGCACGTGGGTTGTGTGACGGCTCGATGCCCTTAGAAAGGGGATCAACTGACCTGGGGAGCATCTCCACGGATGGAACTCGGCCTGGCCAGCTTACCAAGGGCCCGATGTGGGTGTTCATCAGGGGGGCGTGTGCTTTTGGAAAGCCCTCCGACAGACGATGGGGGCACTGGGCCCGGGGAATGGCATGTGCACCGTCCTCCGGGTGCGATGGGAGAAACCCCGATGAAGTCGCCGGGTGCGGGCTTGCAGTCGGCCAAGGCCGAGGATGCGTCGCTGTCTGTCGCCTGTGGTCCTTCTTCGGCCCTTGCTGCTCCTTGTCACTGATGTTGCGGCGCGCAATCGATGGTCGACCCTCTGGTCGGGGGTGTGATCCCATCGTCGAGCTCAGGCGGGGAGTTCTGGATAAGAGGCAATTGGTCGATGATCGGTACCCCTCTGAGCCAAAGCCCCGTGACACTTGTATAACGGCAGACTTGCGCGATGAGGGTGCTGATGGCTGCTTCTTTCACTCCTGTGTCTCCGGGCCCTCTCCTTTGCCGGTATGCCAAGCAGGCAACCCCGATGAGCGGGACATGCGGCAGGGGCAGCCATGGTCCGGTGTATGTCTGTGAGCTAAGCAATGTCATCGGCTCCATGGCATCCGCTGTGTGGCCGCATATCTCCCACCAGAGAGAAGGCGACCCTCGGGTCCGAGAGGGAGCTCAGTGGGATGAGGCAACACAAGATGAAGATTGATTTTCCATCCCCCCAGTGAGGCCGAGAGTCGGAGCTTGCGCGCGTCGGTGAAGCGGGCAGGCCCTGGACCCGGGGCACTCTTGGTAACCATCTTCAAAGAGAGCTAGTTTCGAATAAGCGGATCAGCAGGAAGGATGCCCGGGTGCCAGGAGCAGCATCGGGGGGAAGACCGCGGGCGGAGTCGACCTTGATGGGGATGTCTCCAACGGAGAGAAGAAGGGGGGGATTGAGGGAATGGGTTCTCGAGCCCCGTCGGGTGCATACGACAAAGGGGATCGTCGCCGCGCAAGTGGGGAGATCTCGCTGCAATGAAGGGTCTCAGGGGAAATAGGGTACCCCGGCCCAGAGTGGACAACATCTTCGTCTGGCACACATGAGGAGCTCTCTCACCCCCGAGGGGCCGCGAATGCTGGTGCATTACTGCTTCGAGGAGGAAGGACATGAGCAGGCTCAGTTGAGCCGGGGAGAGGGACCGCCCGAGAGAGGCGAGCTGAAGGGGCCAGCCCGAAAGAGACGGCCTGACAGGGCTTCGATGTGGCTAGTGGGGGGAGGGCCGCGTCGCAGTGGTCGGGAGGAAAAGAGGGCGATGGGCGTGGTGAACTGGGGAAGAGGAGGACCGCGGTCGGTGGGTCGTGGCACGGCGACTGGTCGCATCATCCGGCTCGCGGAAAAGTCACCTTCGTCGCGCTGACGACGCCCACGGGGGCCTTCATTGCTCCAGCAGTGAAGAAAGCCCTTATTCTGCCAGGGGAGCCGACGGTTCGGGGGAGAGGAGATCGATGGGAAATCCCAAGAGGCAAGAATAAAAGACTCTCTCGTAGTCACCACAGAATGGCCGCGTAGCTCAATTGGATAGAGCACCTGACTACGGATCAGGAGGTTGTGTGTTCGAGCCGCATCGTGGTCAATGTTTTTTTTGCTCCGGCGGACGGAAACTTCCTCCCGGGGCCCGGACCCGAGGCATCAAGGTTGGGCAAGCGTCTCCCGTCGAGCCGTTCGGCGCATTTCCGGTCTCTCGGTCAGCCTGTCAGCCGTGGTCTGCACCCTGTCCGAGGGAGGTCTTCGTAAATGGATGCCTGACCACGGGCTTCGCCGGCTGGTCTGGGCCCGTACAGAGTACAGAGCGGGTCTCGGTGACTCGTGGCATCGGTGGGAAAAGTGCGCGGAACACGGCGGAGACGGTCCGGATCCCGGGGGATGCGATTGTGCGAGAGGGGGGTGCCATTGGCCTGGAGGCTGGGACAAAGGCGACGATCACTTTGATCTGGGGCTTCGGACGAGGAGAATGTGACGCCGCTCGAGGTCGACATATGTCCTGTAAGAGCATCGGGCCTCATCTTGAGATCTCCGCCTTTCGGCCAGGCTCTATGGAACACCCTGTGAGCTGCGACCAACGGTCCGAAGCGGACATGCTCGGGGACATGGCAACACACGATGCGAGGCGGGGCCGAATTCCGGCAGCAGCTCGGGCGCGGCCGCCGGGCTGAGCGTCCCCCTCCCCCGGCATGGCGAATAGGGGGGCATAGCAGGCAGTGTGCAATGGAAGCCGGCTGGTGATCGGGAGGTCGGGTGTGGTGCCAAATGGTTGGGGGCGTCCAGTGGTGCTCTGGTCCGGGGAAGGGATCGGGCTTTGAAAATCAACATTGGGGCAGCCCGAGTGGTCGGTGGCTGGCGATGAACGATGGTCTGGGGCCTGGGGAACCGGCATCGATGGCCTGCCGCAACACGCTGCCCATCGACCCCGAGGTCACCTCTCCAGCGAGGGCTTTGGGGCTTGTCCGGCCATCGCCAGAGGGTGAAGATGTCCGATCTCCTTGGCGACCTAAAGGGTCGGCCGTGCGATGGGTCAAGGGAGGCGGTTTGGGCTGCACTCCTGCGTCGGCCGCTCCGGAGAGCGTGCACCACACGCGCCCTACCCGCAGCAACAATATAAGCGTGTCACGGGAGGGGCCCGCTTGCACTTGGCCCCTTGGACGAGACATTCGCGGACAGGTATCGACGGTTTCCCCGAGGTCTGGGGGTCGTAGAGGCGCTCCAGCCGGCGTGTGTCGAGAACTGGGTCGCCTTAGACCGAAGGCCCCATCATCATCGCCGGGAAGGCACTGGTCATGCGAACGTACATAGGGACCGGGCGTTTGTCGCTGCGCATGCGGTGTGCCAAGCGTGCGACATTCCCAACATGGTCTTGGGCCCGCTTGGCCCCGGGCATCTGTGATCTCGGCAGCCCGGCTTGAGGGCTGGCCGCCGTCCCTCGGCCGGCCATCGTGGGACTTGGCCACCCTGCGGCGATCGCCGCCTCTCGGCGATTTGATGCCCGAGACCCCTCCCTGCTGGGGCTTCTCTCCTGGCGAGGGGCCTCTGAGGCACATGTATTGACATCTCACGTGCAAGGTCCTCGAAGCCCAAAACCCGGGGAACCCACTCACTCTGCGATCGTGCCGGAGCAAAGGGCTCCTTTGGTGCGGGAATTCGTCGCATGTGGCGAAAGATCGACCTCTGAAAAGAACAGCGCGCGCGTGGACACCCGTTGGCGAACAGAGATTCACATGCATTCACATGCCTCCTTGCCATTCCAACCACTCCGCACTAAGATCTCTTCACCAGTTCCCCCTGATCTAGCCACCTGCGGGGCCCTTCCCCGGCTGGAGCTGACAGCGGGAAAGAGGGAGAGAGACCCCTGACGGATGCTATGCCGGAAATCTGCACCGACTGGGGTGATCCCCGAAAGCAAAGGGAAGACCGCGTCAATCTGGACCATGGAAAGTCCCAAACTCGGCGAGCCGGTGCGAATCGAGATGGCGAGCAACGGCAACCGACCCACTCTAGTACGCCCCACCGGGTCCAAGAGTAGGCCTTTCAGCAGGCGCCCAGGGCCCGGACAGAGTCACCACATGTGCCCTCGCGCGCGCGCGCGCGCCCCTCGAGGTCCGGCAGCTGGGGGAACCGCTTCTCGGGGATTGTGGGCGGAGGGATGTGCCCAGGTGCCCGCGGATCGAGGCCCGGACCGGAATCCCCGCGGTCTGGCCTGACATGCCCGCCTCGCATGGAGAATCCCGACCAGCACTTGCCTTCAAAGGCCACCTTGTGGCCTTCCACCCCGCAATCCCCCGCGTGAGCGGCTCTTATTCTTGGATGTCGCGGAGCTGGGTCCACCCGAAATGCGTGTAATTCAGAAGGTAATCGAACCAGCCACACGTGGCGCCCCCGGAAAGGAAGCCTTGGACCAGACACAAGCGCCAGCTCATGGCTTTTGCCCGGGTGGGCGGTCTCCCATGTGATGATTTAATTGCCAACTCTTGATGATGACCCTGGCGCCGCCCATCCCGGCGGGGGGGGGCGGGGGCATCGCTGCCGATCCGAGCTTCGGGCATCCGTTTCGGAAGAATACACAAGCCGCCGCCGCCGCCGCCGACTGCCCAGCCCTGTGTGTGATGCTCACACCTACCGGGCCCCGGAGAGGGGCATCCGGCGAGCCATGCCGAGAAACAAAAAGCGTGTCGCAGCTCGACTTGTGGACCCTCCTGGCATGGATAGCTCTCCCACCCTGTGCTGACCGCGTGTATCCATCGGGCGCCGCCCCATTCGGATCCCCACGGCTCCGGGGATTCGAATCTCCCACGTTCACCGCCATGCGAGCCGCCGGGGCCAAGGAAAAACTCCGACCCAGTCGGCCAGCATCTGCCGCGCCGGGATCCACCTGCCTCCCTGGGCCGGGGAAGGGGGGCCCCCTCCGGTCAGAGGAGACAGCTCGGAAGCCACTTGGTTTGCCTTCTTTTTTTTTTTCCTCCTTTTTAGGACACCACCCTCGGCCTGGCACCGTGCACCGCTCTGACAAGCATCAACTTTCCCCTCCTTCCGCTGCTTCCTTGCTCTCCTCCCCCCCCCCCTTCCACCTGGCTTCCCTCCTCTCCCACCTTCCTGGCTCACTCGCTGCTCCGGCTCGGCCTGTGGCTCGCTCCGCCGAGTCGCGTTCAAATGGCGAGCCATGCCTGGCATAGGTCCGGCGCCGGTAGGCTGGCGCCGGTCCTCTGGCTGTTTGTCGGGTTCTTGGTGACCCTGGCCCGAGGCACGGGGCCGCTCCTGCTGCACGGAACGCTGCACGCTCCCTCGACGGCCGGGCGTCTGATGGGATTTTCGACGCCCCTCGGAGAGCCATCGATAGCTGTTTACGAAAAGTCGACAAGTATCCTGGAGGCTCGCGAACAACATGTCAAGCTGGACCGCCTGACTGACATCCGGTGGGGTGTATTCTTCTCCGACATCGGGCCCTACGCCTTGGTTTGCTCGGCGCCGACTCCCCCTTCGGCGAATCCAATGCATATGGTTCTGCCGGGGGCATCCCTGCCGGGGCCCCTGGTCCTCGAGTACTCCCACACTCATGTGGGCGTGTGCGGGCTGACCGCGGCCCTTGCATGGACCATGCCGAATACGCAATTGCTCGCGGCCCAGAGTGTGGGCCAGGACTCGGTCGACCTCCTGGTACTTGTTGATGTCGGGTCGAGTGCCGTCACCTTGAAGATCCTCCTCGTGGAGTTGGATGTTCTTGCCGGCCAGTTGATGTATCATGACCTGTCTTTGCCGGCCATGGAGTCTGCCCCGGTGTTGGCTGTTCCCGGACCCGGGCGAACGTTCTTCTTCCTGGAGCCCAACCAACACCTGTGGTATGTTAGGCATCAGGGGGGTGGCTCGGCCGAGGTCTCCGGCATCGCGGTTCCCACTTCGGGCGTCCTTCAAATGATCTCCTCTCGGGTGTCCTCCCCTTCGGGGGATTGCCCGACCGGGGATTTGATCCTGCTGCTGGATGGGTCGCATATTCGGGTGCATCCCTGCCCGGCCAGCATGGGCACGCCGTTTTCCTTTTCTCTGCCCCCTGGCACGGTGGGCGGCCCCACTGGGCGCATCATCCTCCCCCCGGCCCTTTCGATGGAAGAAGTCTTGCCATTGCTCTACTACGCTGAATCATCGCCGGGGGAGCCCCCGGACCGATGGCAAAGCTATGGCGCGCGGACATCCACAATCGCCAGGCCACCTGGCGGCCGGTGATCACCCCGGCCGGCGTCAATCCGATGGAGGCCGACTTCATGAGCCTGATCGTGGATTTGAATGGGCCCCGGTGGATCCTGGCCGTCGGCCATGTGGGCCTGCTGGAGCCGGACCTCTTTCGCTGTGACCCCGATTCGAGCATCGTCTGCGACCGGGAGGATTTCCTCCTGGGTACCTCGCTGGGATGGATGTGCTCGCCGGGGCGCCAGGCCAGCCCCTTTGCAGACGATGAGCGCCTGTGCGGCGCATGTGGCGACGGCTTCTACTTGGACCGTCCGGGTGCGTGTGTGTGTCTGTGTGTGTGTGTGTGTTTGTGTGTGTGCTTTCCCCGTTCCTTTTCCTTCTTCTTGCTTCTCCTCCTTTCCGGCAGTTGACTCGCGGCTGTCGGTGCCAGGAATTTGACCAGCGTCAGGCCGGGGTCCGATGGCCGGCCAAGAGGGATCCATGCACTGACCCATCCTTTGGTGACCTTGCAGCGCGCCTGTGCCGCCCCTGTCCAAAGGGGTGCACTTCATGCTCCGGTACCGAGTGCTTCCAATGCCAAGCGCCGTTGCTGACGGAGCAAGCCCCCGCCGGTGGCGGGGTGAACTGTGTGAGTGCCTGCTCGCCGGGCTTCACCGAGCTGGCTGGGGTTTGCCAGCGTAACGCCGGCCCATCGGCAACCCTGTACAGCCTCACGGAACGCCCGACCATCAACTCGTCTTCCTCGGCCGGGTTGACGATTCTGGCCCTGGGCTCCACGCATCTGACCCTGGACCCGCGGGATTTCGGTACGCCCTCCCTGTCGGCGAGGGCCCTCAGCACGCCGTCTGCTGCTCGGGAGGGGGTTTTGTTCTTCATTCCGGACGCCAGGACCCTGTGGATGCCGGCCGCGGCCGCGAGCGACCCCTCTCGGCCGCCCCTCGAGGAGATCACCCTCTTTCCCGGGTTCCCCTCGGCCGGCGTGGCGTCATACACGGAAATCGGGCCCCTTTTGCTGCCCTCCGAGGCGGTTCTCCCATTCGCCATGTGCACGGGCCAGGAGGAGCTCCTCCTCGGGGCTCTGTCCTGCTCGCTGCTTCCCGAGCCGGATGGCACGTCCCGCGCCGTGTGCCTGGGGGTCCCCGCTCCGATGCCGCAATATGTCGTCAGCCGGCCTTGCCGGATGGTCCGTCGAATTGGCGATCGCCATGTTTTGGCCTACCTGGACGGGAATCGGGCGGCCCTCTACTTTTTCGATGAATCCTGGCGTCTCCTTGACATCGCTGGTCGGACCCAGGATGGGCTACTCCTCCCGCGGGTTTTGGCCCCGGTCGGGCCGCGATCGCTGCCGGACTTGGGGGATCCCACGGACTGGTTTGTCCAGACGAATCTCAGCGGCCAGGCAACCGCACTGCCTCTGGATCTTCTTGAGGGAGATGCTCGCCGGCAGGCCCTTGCCAACCGGCTGTTTGCGAGCCACACCGTCTTCGGGACGCCGGTGCTCTTGCGGACGGCAGGTCCCCACGGTCCGGGCCGCCATGCGCACGAACTCATCATGACTCGCGTGTTGCCGTCCGGCCATTGGGAAGCCTTTTCGGCTCCCGGGGACATGCTGCCATCGGGCCGAACGGTGGACCTGCCTACCCTGCGGCACAATCTCGGCCAGGTGCCCATTGGCTTGGGCGGGGGTCCCAGTCGCTTCCAGTCTCTGGAAATCGACGGCCTGCCCGAATTCCCGGCCGCATTGCTGCTCGTGACGGAGCGTTTCTTGGCCGTGGCATTCTTTCGGTGCTTGGCGGTGGCCGGCCCGTGCTCCCTGCTGCCGGCTACCTTCCTGCCGCTGGGAAGGCTCATCACCGGCCTCAGTAGCATGGATGTCATCCAGAGCCCGGGCCAGCCTGCTCAAGACCCAACGGCCATACTGGCGATGGCCCTGCTGGCCAAGACGTCCCTGGGCATGGTGGAGATGCGTATTGAGTACTCCTGCCCGAGTGAGACCTTTGGCCCGACATGCCTGCCCTGTCACCCATCGTGCCGCGAGTGCTCGGGCCCGGGTTCCGACAGCTGCACCGCCTGTCGGGCGGCCATGCCCGACGACCCGGCCATCTGTTTGAGCGCCTGCCCGCCGGGCCTCATCCTGGATCCACAGGCGCTATGTCGGTGCCCGGGCTCCTGCCTCCGGTGCGACCCGGTCACGGGGCCTGGGGGTGGCTATCGGTGTGGGATGTGCCAGGCGGGCTGGGCTGTCGGTAGTCCGAATTCCACCCTCTGTCAGCCGTGTCACTCGACCTGCCTCGAATGTGCGGTCCCCGACAGCATGCATGCCTGTACAGGCTGTCGCCCGGGGACTTATCTCCACCAGGGGAGCTGCGCGTCGGCCTGCCCGTTGGGCCTCTGGCCGGACGACCAGACGGCCGAGTGTCGGGCCTGCCCGGCTGGCTGTGTGTCATGCATGTCGGATGGCATGTGCGAGAGCTGCGCGGGGGGCTTTTTCCTCGATGGCAATGGCCAGTGCGCCAGGTGCGATGCCTCTTGCATGGCATGCTCTCGGGCCGATGCCTGTGAGGCATGTCGCCCGGGGCTGATCTTCCTCCAGCCCGATGAGCATGTGGCCTCGCTGTGTGGAAGTACCTGCGGCCCGGGCGAGTATCCGGGCGTCGATCGATGCGCCGCATGCCATGAATCCTGCGATCTCTGCGCCGAACGCGCGGACATGTGCCAGGTGTGTGGCGATGGCTTCCGGTGGGCGACCGGGCCTCCGGCCGCCGGGCGGACGGGGCCTTGCGTCGCCTGCCCGGCCGGGTGTGCCTCCTGCACGGCGGACCGGTGTTACTCCTGCGCCCCGGGCCTCCTGCTGTCGTGGGATGGGGTTTGCTTGGCCGCCTGCCCGGAGAGCACGCATGGGACCGACGAATCGTGCCAGCCGTGTGACCCCTCCTGCCTGGCATGCGCCGGGCCAGGCCCGGACCAGTGCACGACATGTGCCCCGGGGCTGGAACTGCTGGAGGTCTCGGCCCTGGTGGGCACCTGCGAGTCGCACTGTCCCGAAGGCCAATATCGCGATCTGGCCTCCGGCGCCTGTGCGGCTTGCCATTCGGCCTGCGCCACGTGCAATGGTCCCTCCGATCGGGATTGCTGGCGGTGTCGGGATGCCCTGCTGCAGGATGGGGACTGTGTGCAACACTGTGCGGCGAAGCATGTCGCCGTGGGGGATCGGTGTCTTCGATGCCATGCCTCGTGCGATCGCTGTGCCGGGGTCCGGAGCACGGAGTGTTTGCCCAGCTGCGCCGGCGGGCTGTTTGCCCTGCCGGCCGGGCAATCCCCCATGCGCTGTGTGTCCAGCTGCCCGGTGGGCTACAGCACCATGGGGTCCGGCTGCGCCAAGTGCCAGGATCACTGTGCCAGCTGCCCGGCCTCGCGGGATGTGTGTGCTCTTTGCGATCGGGGCTGGCTGCTTGAGAGCCCGGATTGCGTGGCCTCCTGCTCGGCTGGGTCTTCGCCACAGGGGAACATTTGCATGGTATGCCACGATTCCTGTGGGACTTGCTTTGGCCCGGGCCCGGGGCACTGTCTCACATGCGGCGATCATGCCCCGCTGCAAATGGACACCCATTGCTTTGGGACCTGCCCGGAGGGGGCCTTCCAAGCCGGTCACGAGTGCTTGGCGTGTAGTGCCGTCTGTGCCAGCTGCTCCGGTCCCCGGAGTACCGACTGCACCGGCTGCGCGCCTGGCCAGGCCCTCTATGCGGGGACCTGCTTGGCGTCCTGTCCTGAGGGGCACTTCGCCGAGGGGGGCATTTGCCGGCCATGCGACCAGGCATGCCGGCGTTGCGACCGGGCGGGATCATGCACCGCCTGCTCCGAGCCCCTCCTGCTCCAGGCCGATGGGGAGTGTGTGGCGTCCTGCCCGGCCGGCTGGCTGGCCTGCCATCCAAGTGGCCGGTGTGAGCCCTGTCCGGAACACTGTGCCGAGTGTGTCCCGGCCGGGGCCCAGTGCATGGCGGTGTGTCAAAGCTGCCGGCCCGGCTTCCAGCTCTCCGATGGCCAATGTGTCGATGGCTGCCCGGCCGGGGAGTTCCTCGATCCCTCGTCGGGCATTTGCGCGCCCTGTCAATGGCCGTGCTTGACATGCGGCAAGGCCGCGGAAAGGTGCACCGCCTGCGCGCCCGACAGCGGCCATCTGATGCCGGAATCGGGCACATGCGTGCCCGCATGCGGGGCCGGCTTTGCGGCCGTCCGCGGGGTGTGCCAGGCCTGTCCGTCGGGCTGCGAGCAGTGCACGGCCGGGCCCGGGCAGGCTGGCTGCAAATGGGCAGCCGACGGGACGCCATCCTGCCCGGGGGTGGCCACATGCGATGCCTGTCACGCGGGTGGCTTGCTGCTGGAGGGGACATCCTGTGTGGGTGTCTGCCCGCCAGGGTGGTATCCCGATCGCGAGTCTGTCCCGGCTGGCTGTCGGCCCTGTCACAAGGGGTGTCTTGAGTGTGATGGCCCGGGGGCGTCTGACTGTGCACGGGCCCCGGGCTCGGGGGCGACGCGCATTGGCCTGGCCATTGGCCTGGCGGTGGGCTTGCTCGTGGTGCTGGTGCTGCTGGCCGTGCTTGCGGTGCTGTGTGTGCGCCACCGCCGGCGGGCCATGATGCTTGCCAAGGGGCCCGACACCGAGGATGCCACCATGCTGAACACCATCCTGGAGCTGGCCCTGCCGGGGGCCATTTTGGTGAATGTGGACATGGACTTCCGCCGGCTGGACATGACACTGGGCGCCGGGGGCCAGGCCAGCGTGTATGCCGCGCAGTCCGTCGGGCCGGGGATCATCGGTCGGCTGGGCTGCCCGGAGACGGTGGCCGTGAAGCGCATGAAGGCCGAGACCATGCGGCCGGTGGATGTCTCCCTCTTCCAGAATGAAGTGGCTCTCATGTGGCTCCTGCGTGAGCATCGGAATATCGTCCGGGTGTATGGCTACAGTGAGATGCCCCCGGCCATTGTGATGGAGCGCTTTGACACGGACTTGAAGACTCTGCTGCACTCGGCGGTGGCCCTCACGGACCGGCAGCTGGCCGACATCATACGGCAGTGGGCCTCCGGCATGGAGGCCATGCACGCCCACGGGGTGGCCCATTGCGACCTGAAGCCGGCCAATGTCTTTGTTCGGATGCATGATGACGGAATGTGGCATGTCGCGCTGGGCGATTTGGGCACCAGCCGGAATCTGTCGGCCGAGCGGTCGTCGGCTCTGGTGAACTCCTTCCCCGAATTGAATGCCATGTCGGTGCCGTATGCATCGCCGGAGTTGCTTCGGGCCTTCCGGCAGGGTGTTCCCCTGGACCGGGGGGCCTTCTTGCCGGCCGATATCTACGCCGCTGGGATCATGCTGTGGGAGTGCTTGACCCGGTCGACATCTTGGTCCGGTCTCTCGATGGAGGTGATCATGGAGGCAGTTTGTCAGGAAAATGCCCGGCCCCCGGTGGAGCAACTCCCGGCCGAGGGCCCCTTCGTCCATGCCCGGGACCTTGTCGAGGCAGCATGGCAGCTGGATGCACAGCGACGCCCAGATGCCGGCACCTTCCGCCAGCAGTGTTCCATGTACTTTGTGGCGGCCGGGGGTCTCGATTGAGATCCCCGCCCCCTGAGAGGGGCTTGGCCCATCCTCCATGGCCGCGGACAATGGGATCTCCTTTTTTGCTGGAGTTGCATCGTGATTTTTCCCTGCACTCGTGTGGTGTTTCGTTACTGGGACCAGATGGGGGGGGGGGAGCAGGAGGGCAAGACAGCCCGGGGACGCGCAAGGGGTCCGTGCTCCTCGGTGACGGATCGCCGACGCCGGGGGCCGCGTTTAACGTGTCTCGGATTGCCCCATGTTGGCACGTCGGGCATGGGCGAAGGGGCGTGGCAGTCGGCCGGCCGCGGAGGGCCCTCTGGCCGATACCTCCAGGGGTCCCGAGTGGTGCGCGACTGTCAGGATGAAAGGGGGACGGAAGGGAGTCACGGTCGCAGGAACAGGCAATTGGGAGGCAGGCGTCCGACTGTTCGGACAGGAGAGCGAGCCTGGTGGCCGATGGCCTCAGATCCGGCCCGGGGATGGTCGCCTGTTAGGCGAGATTTCTTCTTCGAATGGCCGATCAAAGGCGGCCTGTGGGAAAGACCGGGCGCAGGAAGAGAACGGGCGGCAGCAGAGGGGGGCGATTTTCGATGACTACAAAAGGCCACTATAAAAGCTCCCTTTACGGGGGGGGGGCAGGGGGGTCGGTGTCGTCAGCATGTCTCCTCGATCGCTGCCGGGTCCCTTTGAAAAGTGCCATCGTAGCATGCCTGGACACGCGGCTGGCCGGCCCCCGGGCCTCGCACTGGCCAACCGGCCGACTGCCCCCCCCCCCCCCCCCCCCCGCCCCAGTGCGTGGTGGCCCTGTGGTGCCGGTTGGCGGCCCCCGGGGCCGGGGCGACATCGGGCTTCGGCCATATGGGGCGCACGATGCCAGTGGGGACCCCTCCCCTCGCGGCCGAGCCACGCCCAGGGGGATGCCGGCTGCGGACGCCGGGCACGCTCGCGGGACAGTGGACATTGCTGGTGACTTGTATTTCGTCGAGGTGAGTGAGGCCCCGGCTCGGGAGGGATGTCAAGGGGGGGGGGTCGATTCACTGGTCAGGGAGCATGGTCACCAGGGTGGCAGCCAGGTGGCGAAGGCTGGCAGCCGGTGGTCTTGCCGGTGCTTCGGGGGCCCACAGCAGGGGCAAGGTGTCGAGCAGATTCTGGCCGAGAGACGGGCTCACCCGGGTGACAGGGTCGGCGGCGTGGTGGAGCTCCGGGCGCCGGCCGGCGGTCACACTTTCGGCGATGCTCATGAAGGAGCCATCCTCCCAGGGAACCCGGCGGGCGATTGTCTCCCAAAGCAGGAGGGCAGCGGCATATATGTCAGCCGGAAGATAGAGGTTTGCCTCGACAGGGCGTCGGCGCTGGAAGGCGACCAAAACCTCGGGCGCCGCATAGCGCGCAGTCATGGCATTCAGCTCGGGTGCATGGGACACCAGGGCCGAGGACCGGCTGTCGGAGAGATTGCGACTGGTGCCGAAATCCCCGAGCGCCGCTCGCCAAGCACTGCCATCGGGGCTGACAAAGACATTGGCCGGCTTCAAGTCGCAATGGGCGACACCATGGCCATGCATGGCCTCCAAGCCGGTGGCCCATTGCAGAGCCAAATCCAGTCGAGTGTGCAGGGACAACTCGACCTCCGAGTGGAGGAGGACGCCCAAGTCGGAGTGGAAGCGCTCCATGACGATGCCGGGCGGGGACTCGCTGTAGCCGAACAGCTGGACGATGTGATCCTGGTGGCGGAGCAGCCTGTGCGAATGGATGTGTGAGTGGCCTTTGTGTTCTTTGGGCTCTTTGTGTTCCCTGTGTGTGTGTGTGTGTGTGCGGCAGACAAGGGCCCCATGTGCGCAGATAGCAGGAGAGTGGGCGAAAGAGAGAGAGAGAGAGAGAGAGGAGAGGGGCATGTACCACATGAGGGCGATTTCGTTTTGGAACAGAGCAACATGGCGGGGGGTCATTGTGGTCGCTTGGGGAGGGAACAGAGGGAGGCAGCGGGGGAGTCAGCCATTCCGAGCGGAGGCCACATAGCGGGACCACATGACGAAGCATACCCTTTAGCTGCTTGATGGCCACGATATCCGGGCAATTGAGGCGCGCGGAGATCCCAGCACCGACGGCTCGCGCGGCAAAGACAGTGGCCTGGGCGCCGGTGCCGAGGGCCGTGTCGATCGGGGTGAAGTCCATCCCCAGGTCCACCTGGATGGCGCCCGGGAGGGAAAGTTCTTTCCGCCACCCCACGACAGGACATGTCAGTCAGGCAAAGGGCGAGGCCGAGGGGAGGGGGGGGGAGGGGGGCATGTCCGACGGCTGGCGTACCGACAAGCGTGTTGAGGACCGTTGAATCTGAAATCCGGGGGTCAGTCACGGGGATGGCCAGGGGGAACGGGCTCTCAAAGCTCGGCCATGGGTACGCACTCTCATCTGGGTCATCCTGAAAGGCCAGCACGGGATGAAGGAGGAAAGGAGTGCGGTCAATGACGGAAGATGGGGGCGAAGGGCAGGGCGAGGCTCGGAAAAGGCCGGGGCGGGGGCATGCGCACGGAAGGTTTCGGGGCCGGGGCTCGACGCAAGCGCCACAACAAACAAATGGCCAGGGCCAGGAGAAGCAGCAGCAGCAACAGTCCCAGCCCAACGCCCAGTCCCAGGGCTTCGGGCGACACGGGGGGGGGGGGGGGGGGCGCGTCGATCAGTGATGGGCCATGGCACCGGAAGATGGGAGGAGGGCGGGGGACATACCAAGTCGATGATCGACCGCGGGTCGGGGGTTGGTGCACTCGTCCCGGCTTGGGCCGAAGCACTCGCCGAGGCACGAGGAGTGGCAGGGGCCGCACGCGGGGACCGGGGCGTCCCAGTGGTCGAAGAACCCGGCGGGGCATTTGGAGACGCAGGCATTGCCCTGCAGCAGGAGGGAGTTCGGTGCACACCGGTCGCAGGAATCGGCCTCCCGGCAGACGAGCAGGCCATGGGCGTCCGCCTGGCAGCCGGGGTGCATGGCGGAGACCGTGCATTGTTCGCACTCCGCCGGGCAGGGGAGGCAAACGCGCTGGCCGAAGTGCGAGGCGTACTGGACCGCCGGACAGGCGGGCAAACATTCGCCGGTGGCCACCTGCAGCCAGTCATCCTCGTTTGCACAGGCCGTGCAATGGTCCGGAGATGGATGGCAAGTGGCACACCGGGGCGCGCACCGGGCACACGTGGCCTGGGGGGCAATCGGGCTAACATCAAACACTTCCCCGGGGGGGCAGGTGTCCTGACATTGCTCGGTCACCAGAGACAGCATGAGCCCCGCCCGGCAGGCGGTACAACGAGCCGCACAGGTGTCCGGAGATGCGGCATCATGGAAGCAGCTGGTGCAGTCGGGCGGGCAGGCAAGGCACCTGCGGACATCGGGACAGGGGAAATGGCCCTCCGAGCAGGCTTCCGTGCAGCGGGTCTGCTCCAGGAGCTGCCCCTCCCGGCAGGCGGTGCAATGGCCAGCGGTCGGGCCGTCGCACATGAGACACCCCTCGTGGCAGGGCTGGCAGAGGCGTTGGTCGGGGCCGGCATCGATGGCAAACTGGCCCGCCGGGCAGGCTGGCTCGCATGTTCCGCGCAGGGTCAGCGGATGGCCGGACTTGCAGGCGGTGCATTGGTGAGCATCGGGCCCGTGGCAGGCGGCGCAGGCCGTGTGGCAAGGGGCACACTGGCCGTGGTCCGGGAAAAAGCCCTCCGGGCAGGATGCCAGGCACCGGTGGTCAAGCATGACCGACTCATCGGCATGGCAAGTGAGACAGTGCCCGGGATCGGGGCCGTAGCATGTGGCACAGGAGCCGTGGCAGGGGGAACAAAGGCCGCCCCAGGGCGAGGTGCCCTCCGGGCAGGGGCTGTCACACGTGTCGGCCGGGAACAAGAACCAGCCGCGGTTGCATTGGGCACAGACATCGGCAGACACCGGGCAGGTGGTGCAGTTATCCCCGCACGCAACACAGCCATCCTCGGTGGTCCGGTGGCCGGCCGGGCAGGCGGACACACAACGCATGGGCCCCTGCCCGGCCGGGAGGGCCAGCAAATCCGACCGGCAGGTGCCGGTGCAGTCGGTGCTTCGGATGCCGGTGCACTGGTGGCAGGAGACATGGCACGGAAGGCAGCGACCGGCCATGGGGACGTGCTGGGGGGCGCATTCTTGGACACAGGTGCTCCCCTGGAGGAGGTGGTCCTGACACCGCCAGCAGTTCTCATCGGTGGGCCCATTGCACTCGGCACAGGCCTCATGGCAGGGGAGACATGCCATGGAGGAGTCATCCCGGAAATGGCCCTCCAGGCAGGGAGACTCACATGCAAGCAGGCCACCCGGCCGGGGGACCTGCTCGAGGCCGGGGATGCAGGCGGTGCATTCGTCGGCCGATGGCCCGGCGCAGTCGGCGCATGTGGCATCACACGGCTGGCAGGCGGCCAGGGCCGGTTGCCCGAATGCCCCGGCCGGGCAGGAGGCCACGCACCGACCGTCATGCGTCAGGAAGAGGTGCCCCTCGCAGGAGAGGCACATGCTCGAGGTGCAGGATGTGCACCCCGCGGGGCAGGCCATGCACGGGCCGGCGCCCGAAAGCCAGCCAGGAGGCCGGTGGAATCCGGGAGCACACACCTCGCAGGCGTCGGGGGCTCCGGAACACAGGGCACAGGACCGGTGGCAGGCATGACAGCGGCCGGGCCCGGGGAAGTCCCCCGGGTCGCAAGTGCTTGTGCACAGAGAGTCGAGCAGGGCATCCGGCGACAGGAAGACCAGCCCCGGCTGGCAGGCAGTACACGCACTGGCCGATGTGCAGGTGAGGCAGGCCGAGTGGCACACCGAGCAAGACCCGTCGCCGGCGTCAAAGCGCCGGGCATCACACTGGTCACAGGTGCCGGGTGTGGAGCAGGCAATGCAGCCGCTGTCGCAGGGGACACAGCGGCCATCCGCCAGGCGGAAGCCCATGGGACAATCGGTGGCACATGTCCGGCCATCGGGCTGGAGGGCCGTGGCGCCGGGGCAGGTCAGGCAGGCGATCGGGCTGCCGGGATGCGTGCATGTGGCGCAAGATGCGTGGCAGGCGTGGCAGGCGGTGGCCGTCGCATTGGGGGCCGTGCTGGCCGGGCAGGTGGAAACACATGTGCCGGAGTCCGGCAGCAGGAGCAGCCCCGGCTGGCAAGAGAGACACCTGTTGGGCTGGGAATCGCAGGAGGCACACCCGGGCACGCATTCGAAGCAGACGCCCATGGTGGCCTCCAGGAGGAAGCCCTGGCGGCAGGCCGTGCAACGGAAGGCATCCGCACAGGTGCTACACCCGGCCGGGCAGGGCTCGCATGCACGGGCATGCTCGTGTGGCCAATACCCGGGGGGGCATTCGGCCGCGGGAGCACATGAGCCATTGGGCTGGCGATATGCCCGGTCGTCGGAGCAGGCCAGGCAGGCAGTCGGGCTGCCCGGGGCCGCGCACTGGCTACAGGTGCTGTGGCAGGCCAGGCATCGGTCGGGGGCCGGGTCCGAGGGATCGAGTGCCATGCCGGAGGGGCAGGCCGTGCAGAGGACCGACTCCCCGACTTCGGGGGCCGAACAGGCAGCACAGTCGGCACGGCAAAGGCATGCCCCGGAGGCGTGGCGATGGAGGCCAGGCGGGCAGACGGGGAGACATGTGGCCGGGTCGGCGGGCAGGAAGAAGTTGCACCCGGGCTGGGAGCAGTCGGTGGCCAGGGGGCCGTGGCATGCTTGGCAGTCTTCATGGCAGGGGCCACACTCGGGGGCATATGTGCCCAGGGGACATGCCTCCGGGGCCACCTGCAGCAGGAAGGTGCTGGACGGATTGGAGCGTGACACGATGAGGAAAGCGGCGGCGGCGGGCTGGCCATCCGAGAGAGAGCCCGACTGGGGAAGTTGAGCCGCGGTGATGAAGGTATGTTCGGTGACCGACAGGCCGGCCGGGTAGGTGGACATGTGTGAAGGCCCCAGCTGGCAGACGGCGTGGCCCAGGGGACAATGTAGCAGAAGGACGCCGAAGAAGTCGCGGTGCAACACCACTAAGGCACTGGGGTATTCGGGATACCCCTGCAGGTGGAGGGCCTGCGCATGGAAGACAGTCGAAGGGGCAGTGGATTTGTTCAGGGGGAGGGGGCCGCGGCTGCTGGGGGACCCGGCGATTTGCCGAGTGCGCTGTTGGGGCTCCATGCCGAGTGGATAATGGATGACAAGCCAATGGGGCACGGTGTTGATCAGGGCGATGCCCGTCAGCAGAAGATCATACTGGGGCAGGTGATGCGGTCGGGAACCGGAGGCCAATGCCATGGGGCGCCAAAAAATGGATGGCACAATGCCGGAGTTGAGCATGTGGATGGGCCATGTGCTGGAGTGTGCGGCCGGGCGCCCAGCCGGAGGAGCGGGCTGCTGGCGCGGGGATGTGCTGCTGGTCGAGGTCCCGGACCGGGTGCCCACCGGGTGCCGGGACACCGCCGGGGCAAGTGGCATGACGTTCGGGGGATTGTGGGTCTGGATGTGCTGCCAGTCCTTGGTGGAGGTGCGTGCATCGCCGAAACTCACCAGGTCCCAGGGATGAGCAACGAAGCCGGCATTTTGGATGTACTGATAAACCCACGAGACGGGCTGACCGGTGGCCGGGTTGGTGTGGATGGCCATGGCGGCGGAGGTCCTTTGATCGGCTGTCAGGATGCCCTCCACTTTGATGAGGCTGCCGTCTGGGCGGAGCTCGTGAAAGGGACCATCATAGGAAACGACCGTCGGCGAGATGCGATTGCCAAGGGCTTGGGTGGAAAGGGACGAGGCCGGAGTCGCCAGTGGGGAGTGCAAAGCGGGGCATTCATCCTCCTCGCCATGAAGCGGAAGGTGGCACTCGAAGGTGATCTGGGACTGCTGGCCGGAAAGCACAATGAGCAACACCAGGCGGATGGTATCGCCCTGGCGCAGTGGGCCAAGCTCGAACATCTGCCGGACGGAAGAGACGCTGGGAAGTCGCTCCAGCGGGTGGACCTGCAGCGGAGCTGTCAGGTCACTGGCCAGGCTCCGGACATCGACCATGGCAAAGGTGCCGGTTTGCAAGATGGCCAACATGCCACCGGGCTCCCGGGCCGACAGCGAATCACGGGAAAGGTAGAGCCGGCCGTCTCGGTGGAACATGCGAGTTGGAGTGAGAGCCGCGATGTTTTTGTCGGCCTGCTGGGAGATCCGTGTCAGGGGCATATGGGGCCGGGAGGGGGGAGGATCGGGCTGGCACTCGGCCTGCGCCGGTTGATAGCCCGGGCCGCAGATGCTCACGCATTGGGCAGAGGGGGCGCCATTTACCAGGGTCCGACGGAGCAGGTAGCCATCCATGCAAGCGGTGCACACCCCGGCCACACAGGCTCGACAGTGGTCTCCGGGGCAGGGCCGGCAGTCATCTGGGCAATGGTCGAGGCATGGTCGTGTGAGTAGCGTGATGTTGGTGGCGGTGGGAGGGGGGGAGCAATGCCAGGGGCAGGGGGACGGGGGCAGGAAACATGGGTGTACATCGGTATGGAGAAAGGGCCACCGCGTGGAATCCATCGGCGCACGCGGCACAAAGCTCCATCGGCGAAGCCAAGGGCGCGTACACCCGACCGGGGGCGCATTTCCACGAGCCGGTGGCCGGGTCGCACACGATCGAGGGGTCGGCCCCGGTGCACCCGAACAATGGGCCGGTGGGGAACACGCGCACATGTTGATGGGCCAGCCACAGTTCGGGGGGATGTGCGCGGGCATTGGCCATCGACACGGGCAGCATGGCGGACTGCAGGGGATTGAAGTGGCCCGGAGCTCGAACACGCTGCCACAGAAGCCGCGTGGGGTGGTAGTTCACGCGCCAGAGGGCTTTCGTGGATTGGTGGACCAGATGCAAGTACCCGGTGGGGAGGGTGATGTGCGGCACACGGGGGACCATGTGGAGGAGGAGGTGGTCTTGGGCCTCGGACAGGGGACTGGTGAGGAGGTCGAGCCAGGTGTTGTTGGGACCCAGGCCAATGTAGATCTGCAGCTCGCCGGGCGTGACAATGACCAGATCCATGCGATCCGGGTCGGCCGTCAGGAAGCGCGTGGCAGCCATGTCGAGGATTGGCTGGCTGGTCGAGGTGGCTCGCGATCGGGCGCCCTCTTGCAGCCAATACCAAGAAGAGGGCGTGGCTAGGAAGAGATTCCCGGGAAGACCGGCGGTCGCACTCCTCGGCTCAACGGCCAACTTGGACGAGGAGAAGATGTTGTTCTCGAAGTGCAGGAGGACCGCGGCGCCCTCATGATCGACCAGGATCCGGGCCACCGTCGGTGCGATAACATCCACCGCGAGGATAACTGGTTGGATGTTCCCGTCGAAGGAGTAGGGGTGATTGTTATGTTGCCAGGTCAGGTAGACAAGTTGTCTGTCTTGCCAGGCAAACATCGGCTGCTGAAGCTCCGGCGTAGGGAGGGCCATGAGCGTGGGGACGGCCGTTTCGGGGATATTGAAGAGGGTGAAGGATAGGTCGCTTTGTCGGGAGAAGAAGGACCCGAGGCGCAGGGAGGGGAATAGGCCCTGCTCGGTGCGCTGCGGGTAGAAGTTGGCTGCTCGGTTGTCAAAGACGTATTGGACAATGGATCCCGGGGAGTACATGCGGCCGAAGTTGTGGGCCGGCAGGGGGTCCATCTGGTGGGGGCTTTCCACGAGAAAGGTGTCCGGAAGGTCCACATCGGCTGTGGACCCGGCCCACAGCGGGCTGAGGAGTGCAAGCACCGCCAGGAGCAACGTCCAGAGCGACATGTGGCTTTTGGCGGGCGAGCAAACGGTCTGAGGGAGGATGGGTGGGGGGAGGGGGGGGGGGTGTGCTTGTCGGAGTTGACCAGGGCGTGGGACCCGGGCCGAGCCATCCTTTTGGAGGGGAACCTGCGGCGATCGTGTTCGTTTGTTACTTCTCCCCGCCAAGGGGCCCCGATGCATGTGGAATCCCCATCCGACGAGACCCCATCAGTTGATGCCGGCCGACCAGGGGCGGGGCGGGGCGGGGCGGGGGGGGGGGCCACGCCCCAGGTGCCAACTGCATTGTCCCGGCCGCTGCCACGCCTCGCTCGAGTGCCAACCCTCGGGCCTTGGGGGCACATTATGGCCAGGCGGCGGTCGGGCAGGGCGCGGGGAGCGTCCGGATCATGCCGGGTTGCGAGGTCCTCGTCTGGGGGGAGCACGGGGGGAGGAGGCGGGGGGGTCGTTGCAGCCTCTCCCGCGGGAGGAACACCAGGAGAAAAGGCATCTGAATGGCGGGCCTTGCCGGGCCATGTTCGCTGCCCCCCCCCCCCCCCCCATCCCCTGCCCGGAAAGTGAATGCCCCTCGGGTTGAGGCCAGCGCTGCGCGTCGAGAACCGCGGCCCTCAAGGCGTCAGCTTGGGATGCCTTCCGGGCCGGCACCCATGTGGCGCCAACCGGCCGTCCCGGATGGTGGCGGCTCCCCTCGGGGGCATGGGCGGTCCCGGGTGCCGTGCAAGATGTTGGCTGTGGCTCGAAATGCATGGACCCAATATGAGCGCCGGGGACGGGATCATGAGAGAGGGGGGCGCCCGAAAGGGTCCTGCGCTTGGATGGCCGGCAAAGGACCGGACTCCCGGGAGAGCAGAGGTATGGTGTTCGTGATGTTGGCCGGGCTGGGAGGGGATGATTGGTCGGAGCTTTCCGCCGGGTGGCGGCAGATCACCAACTGGCGGTGAGTGTGCCATCATGGCGGGCAGCGGAGGCGCTCTGTCGCACGAAGCACATGGTGCCCGGCTACTGTGGCTGACCCTCGGAAGGACGGGCCTCGTGCAGGCAGATGTATGCGCCCTTGCCGCATGATTATACATGGGGAGGGATTACTGGTCGGCCGAGCCGACAGGCCAATAGCGCCATTACTGGAGACGGGAAGAGGAAGCGGGGCGGAGTCCATGTCCAGCATGGGCCGCCAGACCGGCTGATGATCCGTCCAATGGGGCCGGCGCGGGCTCGGAACCAGAGAACCGGGATCCATCCGGGGGACACCCGTACGCCCACCAGTGCTCCAACGCTCGGCGTGATGCCAACCATGGCCCAGGCAGCATGCAGTCGAAGGGGGCCAGGGGTGGGTCGAAATCCGCCAGGCTGCAAGGAGACGGCTCGGCCGGCGGACAGGGCCGATATTGCCGAGAGAGGCCAGGGTCTGGGTCAGGCCCTTACGGGCCCGGGAAGCTGTAGCTGCCGTGGTCCACCGGCATGCTGCTCGTGGGCTGAACATGTCCATGCCTGGCGGCCAACACCCACGGATGATGTGGGGATCGCGGCTCGGGGAAGTCGATTAGGTCCGGCGGGGGGCCTCATCTATATTATTGCCCCATGGCCCCGACCGACGGGTCTCCAGGCCCCTCTCCGGTCCTGCCCACCGGAACGCGGACAACAAGCCGAGGATGGTCCTCGGACCAAGGGGGGGAGTTGGAGTCTGGCACGTCGATGGTCGGTGGTCATGGTCCCTCCGCGAGTTCTTTCCGCATGCTTGGAGGGACATGCGATGGGAGGTTCATTGGGGGGCCCCTCGTTCGGATGATGGATGTGCCTTCGGGCAGGATGGCCATGTCGGGCCGTGCTCGAAATAACCGGGGCAAGGCGGGATTCCTGCCTGGTCGCAGGAGCCAGGACGGCCTGGACCTCGTATGGGAGGGCGCCTCCGAAGGAAGTGGTCACTCAGCACCGGTGAGTGTCTTCCTCGGAGGCGGGAAGCGATGATGTGGGATGGTACTGTGACTAGCGGGGCGCCAGGCCGCCGGGCCGGGCGGACATGGACTGTCCGCGGAAATGTCCAAATACTTTACTTTCGAGCTGCTGCGCTTCGTCGATGCACCTCTTCCTGGCTGTACGGTCGACTGGTCCACTGGCACACGGTGGATCAGGCCCCGGTTCCCCTGCGATGGGCTCCCTTGGAGAAGCGTGTTCCCCTGTTCAACGGTCAGCTGGTATGTACCAGCGCGGGGAGATCCCAACTTGGGGGGTGCCGCCAGGAGATCTCTGTCTGGACTCTGGCGATTCTCATGCCTGGCCACAGGGCGACGCGAGTGGTCGTTCCCTTTTCGCCCCCATCCACAATCTTTTTTTTTTCATTCAGGCCGATGTAGCCCGCTTGGCATCCCGGCCGGGGTAACCGCGCAAGGCACCGTGCACCGGACCAAAGCATGGGCCCCACTGGCCCCATCATCCCGCAGGAGCACGCTCCAATGGTCCCCCTTTCAACGGGGGCACACGGGCATAAACCTCGACCAAGGCTAATGCCATTGGGACACACGATAGAGGCCCTGCACCATAACCACGCGTATGTGCCGCCAATCGCGCCAGAGACGCGACTGGGCTGCTGCTTCTGTGGCAGGAGAGAAAGAGGGGTGTATTTCCACGCAATGTATCCGGGCAAGAGCCCGCCACGGACACGCGAGCACGATGTGCTGGCCGCCGGCCCTGCCTGGCCGGAGACCGCTCACATGAATTGCCCCCCTCCGGAGGCGACTCCCCCGATGTAACTGGTTGTGTCTTTGGGAGGGGGGGGCTTTCCCCGGGGGGGAGGGGGGCGGGAGGCGGAGTGGCGATATCAGTCAGCCTCGCACATCAGGCCATCCGCCGAGAGAGTGTACCCCGGGGCACAGGCCACACACTGGAGGGCACGCTGCTCCGGGTGGTGGGGGTGTTTGACAAAGCAGTGGAGGCAATGGTCCGGGCACGGCACGGCAAAGCGGTCCTTCTGGGTCTGGTAGAAGAGCCCCCAGCCGGGCTGGGTGAGGGCATCGGCCGTGCACCGGGCGGCCGGGGTGATATCGAAGGAGCTGGCCGGGTCCAGCTGCTTGACCCGGGGGATGTGGTTGGGGCTGGCGGTGCACTGCATGCAGCCGATGCCCAGGCCGTTGTAGCAGGTGCCGCAGCCGCCGCCACAGGGGAGGCAAGCCTTGGCATACTTGTAGAAGCCCTCCGGGCAGGTGGTGAAGCACTCGCTGTCGCCGAAGAGGGCGTGGGCGAACTTGCAGGCGGTGCAGTTGGTGGCATTGGTGCAGGTGGCGCAGCCCGGGTCCAGGCAGGGCAGGCACTGCTTGCCGACTTGGTAGAAGCCCTCCGGGCAGTGGGCCACGCAGTACTGGCGCTGCTTCTTCTCGCGCGGCAGGACCAGCAGCATGCCGTCCCGGCAGACGGTGCAGTTGTCGGTGTACAGGTGGCATTGGGCGCAGTTTTCGTGGCAGGGCTGGCACTGTTGCTGGGCCGGCAGCGGGTCGAAGTCCCACGTGGTGCCGGAGCCGCAGGGCGAGTAGCACTCATCGGCTCCGAGGATGAAGGAGGGGTAGCACCGGTAGCAGGTGTACTTGTCGGTGCACAGGGCACAGTCCACATCGCAGGGGGAGCAAATGCCGAAGCGATTGTAGGTGGCCCCGGGGCAGGTGGTGCGGCAGGCATTTTGATGGAGCACATGGTTGGGGGTCTTGCAGCTGAGGCAGATGCTCGGGTCTTCGTGGGCACACCGCTCGCACTTGGGATCCAGGCAGGGGGAACACCGGCCGGCCAGGGAATCCTTGGTCGTCTGGGGGGGGCAGGTGTGACCACAGGAGCCGTCGGGATGGGCGAAAAAGCCCCGCAGGCAGGAAAGACACCGGGCCGGATTGGTCGGGTCACAGTGGAGGCAATTGCGCGGGCAGGCGAGGCATGTGCCGGCTCCATTGTCCACCGTGGTGGCCGGGCATTGGGGCTCGGCTTCGGGGTCGCCGTGGGCACCGTAGCCCCGGACACAGGCGCCCGTGTGGACGGGCTGGCCCTGGGCGGCGAAGGCCTTGGTGCTGTGTGCCAGGAGGAAGCGCCCGGCCGGGCACCGGGTGCAATCCTTGGCTCCGGGGCCGGCGCACTCGTCGCACGAGTCATGACACTGGAAGCACACGCCGGGGCGGCTGCACTTCAGCAGATGGCCATACTCCGGGCGGGCGAACACCTCGTCGGTGGGGGCCGCGTGGCGGGACATGGGCCAGGCCGCGCAGTCGAAGCCCTCGGGCACCAGGCGCCGGGGGATGCAGTGGTCGCCGCAGGGGAGATGGTCGGCCGTGGGGCAGGCACTGACACAGCGCCGGTCGGCATTCAGCCAGTACCCCGGGGCACACTGGGCGCAATCTTCATTGATGTGGGGATGGGCAAGGACCTGGCAGCCGGGCAGGTCGAGGGGCTCCGGGTGGCAGAACCCCTCGCCGGCGGCTTGGAACCGACAGACGGCACACTGCTTGTGGTTGCCGGGCACCACGTTCCAGCAGTGGGCCGGGCCAATTTGCAGGAGCTTCGCGCTGGACACCGCCAAGTCGGGGAGCTCCTTATCCAGGAAGGCATAGCCATCGACCAGGCGATAGGCGCTACTGTACTGGAGGCACTTGAGGTCGCCGGATTCGTACTTGGCGCGGAGGCACCGGCGCAGGCTCGGGTAGCAATACTCGTGGTTCAGGGCCTCGCCTGATGCCAGTCCAGCGGGGAGGGGGGGGGGGGGGGGCAAGAAACACCGGCACAAAGCCCGTCCATGGCAGGAGAGGAGGGGGGGGGCAGTGGACAGAGTGCAGGGGGATGCTCGGTCAGGCGGCGTGGGGCATGCCTCCAGGGAGCAAGGCGGATGCAAGGGAAGGGGCGGGGTGCATGTGGAAGGCGTGCATGCGGACATCGGGGGGCCATGGGGCGTGGGTCGTCGTACCGGGGGCATTGCATCTGGCACTCGTGATGCGGGTGAGGTCCTCCTGGGCACTGGCAAAGCCCACGACGCCGCTTGCCAGGAGGAGCAAGAGGGCCGAGAGGAGACGCCAGCCGGGCGTGGCGGGGAGCATGTTCACAACGGGCACCGTTGGTCGGAGAAGGAGGGGGACCTTGGGGCGGCGGGGTGTCACTCTTCGATGGGGGGTCAGTGGGCGGCGGATGGGCGAAGACAGGGGCTGGGGTGGCGGGGGGTGTTTGGTCATGTCGGGCGCCGGAAATATCGGCACGAGTGGGGCATTTATACCCCTCTGGCTGGGGGGGGGGGAGACCAACGACTGTGGCCCGCATGGTGGATGGCAGAAGGGAAGTGAATGTGTGGGGTGCTGCACTGCGGCCGGGGTGGGCGTACACGGAGGGGTCCACCGAGACCAAGCAGGCAGTCGGGCGAGCGTAGATCCGCCTCAGGGACGACCACATGCGGTAGGTTGCGCATGGGTATCGAGTGTCCAGGGCTCGAGGGGAGGGGGCGGAGGGGGAGGCGCGTTGCCTGGTCCGAGGCCCTGGGCCCTGCCCGAGACTCAGGCCTAGCATGAGGCCCTGGGCCCTGCCCGAGACTCAGGCCTAGCATGAGGCCCGGGCGAGGGGACGGCAGGTGGGACATCTTCCAGGCTCTTTGTTAGCTGTTGAGAGGGGCCAGGCAGTTGCTCCGGGGGTGTTCACGCGGACTCATGCGCACGCACGCCGGTTGTGGACAAAAATGCCCAAACATGAATTGGACCCAGGGAAGAGGTGGTGATCCTGCTCCCCCCCCGGGTCCGAGAGAACCCCAGAGAGGGGACGGCCGAGGGTGATCGGCGGCTGGAGGGGCGGGAAACACGAAACAGGGGGCCCCATGGCGCGGGTGGAATGCCCTTGGCAGGGGGCGCCCGGCGTGCCGGATCCGCTCGGACAGGCATCCCCTGGCGGGGTGGCAGATTTTCGCGAAGGCGCTCCCTGGTGCTCCCGAATTCGTGATCTCCTTCTTCAGATCGCTGGTGGAATATCACCCGAGGGTCGACTGGTACGCGGGGAGTTGGAGATGGGGTCCGCCGTGTCGACTTGCGCTGCCGAGGCGGCTTCCGATTGCCGGCTGATGGCCGCCCCCCCCCCGCGGTGGACACAAGGAGGCCCGCCCGAGGCTGGGGCGCCCTCTGACATTGAGAACTGCGGCGATCCTTCATCCGAAGGAGCGGGTACTTTTCCCCTGGTGCGGGGAATGCCCGGCCCGGGTGTTGGCTGGGTATAGACGAACTGACCGATGATCTGGGAGTATGCCATCTTGGCGGAGGAAGGGATGTGATGGGTTTGGCCAGATGCGCGTCTCCACGCCCGGCAAAGGGTCCCGGGCGGGACCGAGCCTCCGGTCGAAGACGGGGCGGGTGACAGCCCCTTTGTCGAGGCCCGCCGGGTGGGGAATCATTTGCTTGGGTCCCCGGGGGCCGGGGAATAAACATATCGGGCTCAAGGGGCCCGGCTTTAGTGAGAGCTCGAGGGTCAACAACGGCATGGCAAGGGATTGGGGAGGCGGGATTCATGCTTCAAGTGCCTCCCAGTGGTGCATGGGGTCAGAGACGCTGGGGCCACGGGGGACCGAGGAGAGGGGGAGGCGATGGCCAAGGTGGCCCAGAGGCGACGCGACGCGCCGCGCCACGGGGAATGAGGGGGGGCGCGAATGCGGCACAGTCGCTGCAACCCCTCGCGTGCTCCCTCGACCCGGGAAGGCTCATGGACGTTATGCTCGAAAGGTCATCCGGTGGCGCAGGCCATCACAGACCTCGGTGAGGGATTAGGGGGGACGAGATTCAACCTCGGAAGCAGGGAGGCGGGGCCGGGAAGGTGAACGGGCAGGGCGGCGCCCGAGCAACGGCGTGAGGTAGGCGCGCATTGGAAGAGGGAGAGCCGCTGGCTTCTCGCGCCGGAACTTGGGCGTGTGGCCAACGCCAAGCCAAAGGACATGCCTCCGGCCAGCGGAGGATCACTTTGCCCAAAAAGAGGTCCTTGGATTGGGGGCAGACCGGGGGGGGGGGGGGGGCAAGCCATTCACCTGGGACAGGATCTCGGGCGGGGTAGTGACCCCCCTCTAGCAGGCATCAAGCCCGGCGTGGGAATGACGACATCCCCTGCCTGCAGGACACGATGCATGGCACCATGCTGGATGGTGAGATGCAGGACACCACGCGGACCAGGAGGCGCCGCCAGGGGAAAGTGCCCCCCGGAGCCATGCCCCCAATCCAAGGGCCTCTTTTTGGGCAAAGTATGCGCCGGGGGGCAAACGAGTGTTCGAGTCGAGAGCAAACGTGCGGTGCCATTGACCATCCGGAGGCTGGGGATGAGTGGAAGAAGATGGCGAGTGAGCGGGACGGGGAAATGCCCGGTGCGTGATATTTGCAGGCAGTGCCTCGGTTGCGCGAGTAATTGGGGCGGATGGAGCCTCTCAGGAGGTGGGGCCTGTGACGTAGCAGTGGCCGGTGGAACGCTGGATCATGGGACCGAGTTTATCTCGGCCGGCCTTGAGGGTGGGGGGAGGCGGGGGTGAGGGTAGCGGTGTGGAAGAGGGGGCGAGGGGGGGGGGGGGGGGGGCCTGCCAGTTTGCCAAGAATAGGAGCCCCATGGTGGAAGGGTAGTCGCGGGAGGCGATCCCCGAGTGCTGTCGGTCCTTAGAAGGGCGTGCGTGAGGAAAAGGCAAGTCTGCCGAGGCCATATCGGACAAAGTATGGACCTCGTGGACCCTCGGGGGGAGCGCGGTGCCTGGTTCCCGACGTCTGATGCGGTTCTTCGGAGTGGTGCGAGTGTATCACGCCTCGCAAGATCCATTGGTCGGGGCCACTGTCCCCCCGCGGACAGTGCCTTTCGCCGGGAGGCTTGATTGCGGTGCGGTGGGCCGCAGGGGGGGTGCCAGGCGCCAGGGGCCATCTGGAGTTGCCCCTCGTGAAGCCGATGCTCCTTCGAGTGTGCGAGGCCGGGCGCCAAGATGGCGTGTCTTGAGGTGTCGGATTCGGTCGCCCATACGAGCCGCAACCAGGACCTGCTGGACAGGGTACTGTCCCAATCCAGGATGAGGCATCTTTTTTTTTTCGGGCATTGCTCCGGCGAACTGGGCTCGGTCCCCGGGCGAGGGCCGGATGTGCTGGGAAGAGAAAAGCGGATCGAGGCCGGGAGGAGCAAGTGCCGAAGATCGCGGCCCCCCCCCCCTAACACCATCAGACGTGTGCCCTTGGGGGGATCCCATCGACAAGGGCGACGGGGTGCCTGCCTATGGGCTGAGCGCGCAAATCAAGCCGCCAGTTCTCTCGCGACAGATGGCCGGGATGGCGGTCGGGATGGTCCGGGACCCGGCCAAAGCCGGGTGGTGAGAGGCGATTTCGGGTCGCGGCCAGCGCGACTCGAGAGGAGCAGCCCCTTTTGATCGAGGGAGAGAGGGAGGGCGCCGGGCCTGGAGGCGGGTCGGAGAGCAGGCGCCGCCGCCGGGGCTAGCCGGGTACTTACGTGATTTCCTGGGCACCCCAAATGCCAACGCTTTGGACAGAGGTCTTTTCCTTTTTGTCCCGGGCAGCAAAAGGGTGAACTTTTTAATGGAGACAACATAGAACGGCCAAAGCCGAGACTGGCTGAACGGGGAGAAGACTTCTGGTCAGCGCAGTGGTCCGCGTGCGTTTTTGAATACTGTCTCTGTTGTGTGCCACGCGGCCGAGGCTGGGTTTTTTTTTCTTCGCCTCTCCTCGCCCTTGTCTGGCCCGGCCTTTTTTTGGGGCTCCGAGTTCCCCACCGGACTTGGGGTGTTGCTGGCGGGGGGTTCACCTTGCTGGGGTCAGATATTTGCACTTTGCTCCTCGGCGCAAGAAGCCTCGATTGCCAAGGCCCCTTGGGCTTGGTTCCCCCCTCGTGCGCCCATGGGTGGATATGCCATTGGGCCGGGTGCTTGGTCTGGGCGTCAGGATGTGGAAGGAACTCCCGGTCGTTGGCTGTGCAGCCGCTAAAAGGCGCAGCCATTATTTTTGAGGTGTGTCCCGAGAACCTGTTGCCTCCTTTCCAGTGGCCACTCCGGAGGGGGTTCCTCCCCGCTGGAGGCCCGGCCTTCCTCCATTACCATGCCGGGCTCTGAGCGAAGGTCGTGATGGTGTGTACCAATAGGTGAGGAATCGTGGCTGATCTTGGGACAATCGGCTCCGCCATGGGCTGGGTGTGGCGTTTGCAGGCGTGCTCCTTTCCCCAGTGACCTCGCTCTCCTTGTCGTCCTCGATGCGGGAGCCTGGCCGAGCGCCTGCGCGCGACGTGCGTGGAAAGAACTGCACTCATCAGCCAAGCCTGAGTAGCGGCCTGTGGGAGATGAATGACGGCTTTTGGCTGCGCGATAGCCCTGGAGGATGCTGGGTGCCCCGTGGCGAGCAGCGTCGCCCCCATGAGGGGGAGCGTATGGATCGCGTGTCAGAACCGCCGAGACAAGGAGCATCTGGCTCCATCGTCGACCCAAGTTCGTGGGTGAGCCGGCGGCTCTCGGCAAATGGAGGCCATATGACATTCTATGTGTCCTTGGTTTCTTGTCATACATTCATTCCCATGTCCACAATGGCGCTGGAGTGGTGGATGCGCTTCATTGCTCCCAGGTGGCGAAGAGGGGCATTCATAGGTACAGCCAGAGCTTGTCGAGTGGCCATCCAGAGTGTGTCTGCCTGAGACGGTACACCTGCCCACCTTGGTCTTCTCATGTCATACTTGCTTTTGACGTCGCTGGACGAGACGCATAGCCGCCGCTCCGGGACCTTGTCCTTGCCGGATGCTGACCACTGGTGGCGCTCGCGGGCGGATGCCACCGGCATGGTCTCCGCTGATGGAGCAAGGCAGTGTCATATATGAAGAGCACGGAGTGCCCTTGTGTTGGAGGGACTCTCGCAGAGGGAATTCCGAGAAACTGTGGATCCTGTGCCGGCGCTTCTTCCCAGGGGCCTTCCATACGGACAGAGGGGCTGTAGGGCGTTCGGTCGACCCTGCCAAGGGGAGCTGGCGTGTGACACATCAGCCGGAGGATATATCCCTTGGGGTGGTCGGGCGGCTGTGGGAGCTCCGATCCATCTGGGGCATCCCCGACCGCCACTGCTTGGTGTCGAGGCAGTGCCATGGGTCCGATCGCCGCTAGGCCGGTTCTGGAAGGGGAGTGAGATATCGGCTGATGTATGTTGCTATTTATTGGGGATATGGAACGAGTTCCGGATTACAAGCTTGTGGATCGGCCGAAGGGGCTATCGGCTGGAAGATGTGGACACCTCGGCTCGAAAAGGGAGATTGTTGATGGGGGCGGATCTTTTCAATGAGCTGCTCTACCTTGGAGGTGGGACTTGTGAAGGTAAGGCCGGAGGGGGTTGATGTGTCATGGCGCAGAGGGCGGGTCCAACTTGTCGCCGCATGCGGGAAGCTGGAGGCGTGACCTTGGGCGTATCTCCAGCCAGCATGTCGCTGCTGCACGCGTCCGAGGCGGACGGCATCAGCCCCACGTTAACCTACCGTCATTTCTCGGGGGCAAAAGACCTTTAGAGCATTGAATTCGATGCTGTGGGCGGCCGGGAATTCCTTGTGCTAGTGGGACCACATTGACCCTTTCGCTGTTGACCGCGGACCCGGACAGACCACGCGAGCAAGGGGTCGATGGGCTATGGTTATGGGGCATGGGTTAGCATGTGCTCTCGGAGTGCTCGCCGGGGCTCATGGTGCGAGGCTCCGCGGAGACATCGTAGCCAAGTATTTCTACGTTGCAAGGGCGAGGGAGCCTCGAAGAAGCGCTTGTCGGAGCCCATGCATTGGTTCGCCACCAGTGAGCCGTATGTCCCGGGTGGGCAGTGCAGCCCGCATTTTTTTGACAAAGATCACGGCCGTGGCCCATGAGGTATCTATTCAACACCAGGCGGCAGTGAGGCAGGCGCCGGGACCGAGAGAATGCGGCTACCAGTGCTGACCGATGGCTGTGGCCTCGCGGAAGGCAGAACGAAGGACCCCGAGCTGCGGGGCATGCTGTCGTAGGCAGCGCTGAGCAGACGGCTGGGCTTCTCGGGGCAACCAGTCTGCCCGTGTCCCAGACCAGCCGAAGCAGGATACGGGCCTGCGCCGCACGAGGTGCCTTGGCCGAAGGCGGAACTCGGCGTGAAGAGGGAGATCGGGTATGCAGAAGGCCTGTGTCGCGCCCCTCGGGGGGGTGTCCAATGTGTGGACTGATGAGCATTGCCCGGGATGTGGGCGCCTGTGCTTTGCAATTGGGGGGATGCCGACCGGGGAATCGAACGCCCAGGCCAATGTTGCCTCGCCGCCAGGCAGGACAGATGGACAGCGTGACAACCATGCGTGGGCCCGCTCCATGCCGGTGGCGAAAAGCGCGGGAGGGTGCAATTCCGGGTGGGGGCACATCGTGGCACCGAGGATGAAGACTGCCTCATGGGCATCCATGAAACGGTGCAAGCTAGTTGGAAGATTGCGCCGGCGACACCGCTGGCCCGGGTGATCCACTTAGCGAGGTCGGTGCGGGGCGCGGCTTTTGGTCGATGTCGGTTTCCGCCGGCGGGGGATCAGAGCGACGCCTGGGTGTGTCTGGATGCCACAAGGCACTGGGTGTGCCTGTCTAATCGCGCTGGCGAAGCACTCGGACTGGCACATCGGAGTAGCGTGCGAAGTGGCGACCCGAGCGTGTCATCCCCGCCGGCCAGTATCTCTCAGGCTGCTGGGGTATTTTTTGGGCGGCAGGATGGCCGGCACGCGGAAGTTTGAGTGCAGGGCCGGCTTGGATGGCGCTCGATGTCGATGATGCGGAGGGCGCTGAGCCCGGGAACTGTCAGAGGTGGATCTTTGGCAGGCTGACAGCCCATCGAGCGTGCATATAGCAGCAGCGGCTGCCTATCGCGCGTGAAGATTCGTCCGGAGAGCCGGGGGACCAGGCGACGAGTGCATGCGTGTTCCAGGACATCGTCGATCGTGGTGAGCATGGGCCGGTGGAGATAATGGAGCGTGCTGCTGCGTATGTCTGTGGGTGGTGCGCCGCCTCACGAGGTGTTGAGCGATGGGCGATACGCGGCAGGTCAGGCACGACGGATAGAGACGCTAGTCGGAGAAGCAGGACCGGGGGAGAGAGAGAGAGTATTCCTGACACACTATGGCCGCTAAGTACGATGAGTGGGTGCAGGGGCAGACATGTGTGCACGGGCGTGGTGTCGGGTGGGAGTGAGGTGTGCCAGGGGCCGGGGTGCAGGGGAAGCGACGAGGGGCCGACCGAGGCGGGGGTGGTGGCCAGTCGGTGGGAGGGGAAGATGCGGGGGCGTCCGCGTGACCAGTTTGCGGAATCCGGGACCATCGGGGAAGTAGGCGGGCTACGAGGATGTGGCAAGTGGGAGGGGGTAGGTGGGAGCGGAGAGTGTGGGCATGGGGATCCTAGGCGGGGGAAAATGTATGCGGAGGGGTGGCTGTTGGGGCTTTGAAGTGGCGGGAGGAGGGGCCTCAGCGAGCGTGCGTGTGTATCAGAATCAATTGGGCTCCAGTAGAATGGAAATGGCATGGCATTAAGAGTGTCACGCTTTGTTAGCCTGATTGTCAAAATCCCGAAGTCGCGGCGAGCGAATGCGCTAGAGCGGCGCCGAACGCTGTTGGAAAACCACCCCTTATCAGAACATAACCGTTCAATTATCAGAATGCGTAATCCGCGTGACGCGAAAAAGGGAATTAAAAGTGGAAAAAAGTGCGGAGAGGCGAATGTCGCCGGGAGGAGGCAAAAAGAGGTGAGAAAAAGACTCCTGGCCGCTTGGGCCACATCGGCGGTTGACGAAGT